TGCTGAACCATTTTCTCTGAAGGAATGCAGAAAAGGAGAAAGAATTTTTGTAATTGCCTAAAAACTGCAGCAGATAAGTCCAGGAACTTAATCTGCCTGTTGTGTATTTTTTGTTGTTGTTTTTTTCCCAGCCTGGCTTGTTTAACACTACGTCATCTGGACAGCTGAGAAACTACAAGAATCTGCTTGCTCTCCCCATAGTACTGCATAAGACAGTAACAATTCTGTTGAGGGCACAGTTCAGGCTCTCCTCAGATGCAGAATTAGCCTCTTCCTACACTGTACTGCTTTTCTGAGTTCATCCACATTCTTCCAATAACTCCTCTGCCAATCTGCAAAGTACCCCTTGCACCCACAGACCTCAAAGCAGGGCACAGGCCTTCATGCTTCACATGAGCAGCAGCCCACCTTGCTTTGGGTCTCAGAAGATGAGATTCAGCCAGCTGCCTGCTGGATAAAGCCTACAGTCAGATCAGAAAAATCTTCTGCTCGAAGCAAGACCAAGTTTCCAAGCATAACCTGCTCCTGTTTGTTCTGTGACTGTATCTGACTGAGGCCTCCTGTCTGCACAAAAGGCTGTCCCTGACCAAGGCTTTCAGGAATACTGCTACATTTGTTTCAGAACAAAGGAGGCAAATCCAAGACAAACACAGGAGCAAGGGTGCGACCAAGGCTGGTCAGCTTATTTGAGCAAAACAGGCTTCTCCCTTCCAAGCTCAAACATATCCCAATCTCACCTTCCAAGGCTTTCCTTCCCCCATGCTGATCCACCATATGCTCAAGTGCCCTGACCAGTCAGCACAAAGACACCACCTCCACACAGAGGTCCACAACAGTGACCAAACCTTGGACCCTCCTCTATCCTCAGGCCCTGCTGGAACAATGAAACCTATTGCTTTGCACTCACCTCCCTTTGCACAAGGCTTAGCTCCCAGCTGGTCAGAACAGGGAGTCCCCTGCTCTGCCCTGGTGCTAGCTGTACCACACTGAAGAGCTCAGCAGGGTCAAGTGGCTCAGAGTAACACTACAGTCACAGACAGATGGGAGACATCATCAAGCCAAGATTATAAAAAGAGAACAGACAGCGCAAAAACTTGCTGCAGCTGTCATGGAAACATCTTTCTTTATTTAATCACTGCCCCAGGAACCCCCAAACCCAACACAACCTCCCCCACCCTCAATATCCAACAAGTTTTCACAAGTCCCCCGTTGCCTCCAATGTTTAGGCTCCCCTCCCCCCTGAGGGTCCAAGTTCCTGCAGAAAAGCTCCAGTCAGTGGGTATCATCTGTGAGATGGCTCCCGGGGGCCACGGCTGGGTGCCAGCGGTGTCCAGCTGGGTCTGAGAGGAGGGGGAGGAAGACTTGCTCCTTTACTCAATCAGTTTCTTGGCCTTGAAGAAGCGACGCAGGTAGAAAACCTGCCACGTGGCCAGTCCAATGAGACAGCACATGGAGAAAATGCTGAAGTACAGAACTCGGGTGTTTGTCGACTCTGAAACAGACAACAGACCATTCATTGCACAGGAGTCTGACATCACAGGATGTGTCTCAAGAGGGCAAAGTTCCCAGGATTTCCTCTCCCCTCCCCTTCAACTTCAGAGGCAAGATATCACACAGCATGAAGGCAAGGGCACCCAGGCACCAGCAGTACTCGAGTATAAAACCAGAGGGAACAATGAGAAGGATAATGAAAAGGAACACAGTAAAACTGCAGTTAATGGGCAACATTAAATGGTACAGAGTAATTCATGTTAGGAATGGAGACAGAAAGAAATTATTTATACAGCTGGGACACACAAGACTCAGTGTCTGTTTCAGAGAAAGAGAAGCATCAGCAGGTCTCCCTTACTAGGAACAGAGCAGGCAGAGACCACTATAACTGCTTGATCCCCAGATGGTGTCCCAATAACACGTTTGGCAGAAGTAAGGGGTCTCAGAGCTCCATCCCTCTGGAGGTGCGCAGTCTCTTACCATTTGTGTCCCTCATCTCCTCTTCTCGTTTCTTCATATAGGCAAAGTCGTTAACGATGGACTCTGAAAGATCTTCCAGGCGCCTCAGTTCTACTTCCAGAGGCTTCAGCTTCTCTACTTTAGCAATCTAGAAAACAGAAAAGTCAGGCAATCACTGAGCCAAAGCCAAAAGCTCCCACGTGGGTTTTTACTGCCAGTTTGAACTACTCCTCTTCACATACTACAGATCTGGGACATCGTTCCCCTAGGGAAACGCCTCTACAAGCCAGAAACTACCATGTCATGAAACACTCTCACTTCTCCCACCTGCTCTCTGAAACACACTTTCCTACTATCCCTCCCACACAGCAGAGGAGCACAGCATGCATACAAGCACATTTCTTCCTTATTCGGCCTAATGTTAGCTTATTCACAGCTGGCTTCTGAGGAGTGGGTAGAAGAACTTGCCACATGACAAAGCCCCCAGTGAAGTCGCAGCCTGAGGTGCAGGTGACTGACTTACGCACGCACACGCTACTGCTCTACAGGCGCGCGGGACACCGGCCCCGACACCCACTCTGCTCGCTCTTGCCCCCCGGCCCAGATCGCCCGGGCAGCCCCATCCTCAGCAGCGGTGCTCTGAGTCCGCTCGCAAGAGCTCCGGGCTTGCGGCGCTCAGGCCGATGCCCTCACGGGCGGCAGACGTTCTCGGTGGGGACCACGCAGCTACGACGTGCTGGATCTGCCGCAGCCACCAGGTGACGCTGCCGGAGCACGTACCGGGCACCGGTTCGACAGAGAAACACACTTCCCAGAGAAAAGCTGGGTTTATACGGCATCACTTTCGTGCAGATCATGCAGCCCGCAGTCCTACAAATCACAGACTCGTATCCAAAAAGAAAAATCCATCGGAAATTGAATTAGAAAGCGCAGTCCACAACAGCAACTATTTAAAGATGTCCCTGCCCTGGTCCTGGCTGTAACCTGAGTACACATATAAAATCTGTGACACAAGGACATTACTCAAAGAGACTTAACTGCAATTCCTGCCACTGCTACAGTGTAGGGTTTGGGCAACTGGTTCTTGTGTAGAATTTGGCACTATTAGCAACGAGTGATCTGATCCTGCCACGGAGGCCAGATGCGTGTCTCCAGGTAATGCAGCAGAAGAAAGATGCCCTACAGAAAACACACGGAGCACCTGCAGCTCACCACAGGTCTCACCACAACACAGGATTACTCAGATGTAAGCCACAGGACAGCATCCCTCAGTGGTCCAAGTGCCAACAGGCAGGCAACAGAGCACCCAGGGTGCAGGCACCCCCAATATGCTGCATCCAGAAGCAGCTGCCCTGGTGTCAGAGCCCACCTGAAGAGATGTTTGTGACCAGGCCAGTGCTCACTAATCAGCCATTTCATGGAAGGGGCTTCACATGACACATGTATCCTGGCAAGCTGCAGGCCCTCAGGCAGTCATCTGAGGATTTTTATGCTGAGGTGAGCTGTGTATTACAGCTCTTCCAGCACAGCAGTGTCAATTCAGAGTGTGTTTGTGAAGAGGGGTAGGACACAGGACGTTAAAACCCTCCTGCTTTCTAACCAATAGGTTGTGCTGACAAAACCCTGTGGCCTGAACACGTATGTGCCAGCAGAGCTTTGCTGAAAAACTTGCACTTGTGCGAGTGTGCCTACATCCCAGACTGTGGTGACACAGCTAGAGCAGCAGGTCTGTAGCACACAAAGGGTCTCAGGTAGCTCTACTGACAAGTTAACTCCACATTGATGGTCTCCATTATCTTCCTAAAGGGCAGTTCTCATTCACAGAAGGCTAAAGAGGTTCCACTGGGAAAAACCAAGGCCTGTCTGCTCCATCCTGCATCCCTTCAGCTGCTCTTAGTAGGTGTAGCTAGAAACATCTGATAGATACTTCTAGTCCTGCCTGTACTCCAAGACGTATGTCTTGGAACCTCCTTCATCCCTAGTGAAGCCAAGATGCACAGCTGCTCTAAGGGACTTTGTAAAAAGCCCACCAAGCATCTATGATGGTGGAACACCATCATCCTAGAAAGGAACATCTGGACCACCAGAACAACTGAGACAATAAGGCCACTGAACTTTCTCAGGGGCCACTCAAAGATTTGTCAAAGCCTAACTCTCTTCCTAGCACAGAAAAAGACAGTATAGCCAAGAATTGACAAGTAGCTGACCTGTAAAGGAACCTAGATTGCCAAACCTTCTTGATGCCCTCTGAAAAGTCTTTTCACTTTTTATTACCAGAATTTCTACTTACTGAATGGAGAAAAAGTTATTCCTCCTTACCCCAGAGAACTAAGGTGTGATACTGCCAGGCAATTAGGTTTTATAACCCAGCTCACTCTCCAAGTTGCTTTGCTCCAACAACGTCTGGCTCTATTAAAGCTTATGAATCTAGGCTTGGACATCACCTCTCCTCTCACTCCATATACCCATGCACAAACTGGACAGTATCAGTGACCCTTGGTCAACTCCCTGTATGAAGTCTCCTTGCAGCAATTCAACAAGAACTGGGGGAAAGACACGTCACTGGTACCTTACAGCAGATGAACATCACAAGCAAAAGGCTCAAAAAGGCAGCAATTCCAGGAGAAACACCTAAGCAACAGTTCTCCCCTCTAGGACCATACAGCAACCTGTCAAGTCAAAACCCACAAATACTACAGCAACCTGGGGAGAAAGATGATTTAAAAAAAAAAGACCCACCCTGCAAAGCAGTGTGTCTGAACATCCGTAGCAGCTGTACGAACAGTAAACCAGTCAGAGCCCTTTGCGGACAGGTTGTTCAACAAAGCTCACCGCTCTGAGAGGTCCTCCCTCACAAGCCAAGGATGCTTGCCAGTGCTACCAAGAGCTGCCTTTGATGGCAGCTGTGACTGCAAGTCTAAATTCGTCCTTTCCCGTGTTTGTCCATGGACCTTTTCCACCAATCTGACTACACCGATGAGCACAGCGGGTACTTACTTTATTCCAAGACAGCTGTATCAGTACAACCAGTGAGCATGTAGGTCCACGGTCATAAGAGAACCCTTCTGCACAGGCACAATGCTTCTAGACAGCGCTACGGTAATGCGACCCAAAGAGTATGTCACGGGGTTGTATTTACAGAGATTCTGTAAATGTAGTCACCATAATCCTCCCAGTTACGCTCTCAGGGGTCGTCCTATAACATTTCCACATCTTGTAATCCTTCAGTAGCTGGTTGGCAGACAGCTGACCCAATGATTGTTTTGCTCTTCCCTGACCCTAAGTGCCTTCTTACTCTCCACGTAGGACATGCTTTAGACTGACTTAAGCAAGGATTGCTCTGCTCTGACCAGGGAAGTGCACACAGCAATTATTCATAGGAATCTTTCTTCACCAACAACTGTCACTTTCTCAGGCACAGACTCAGTGCTGGGGGCTGACTGACCCAAAATTCTATCGAGCCAAAAGCACAGCAGCAGCCATCAGCATCTGGATGCTGAATTTGCATCCAAGCCAGTCAGTACTGTCCCAGCCACAAAGCAACTGCTATTCCACACAGCTGGCTCTTGGGTCTAAGAAAGCTATGTCCTCCTAAGATGGAAACATTTAGGCTTTATGCCTATTTCCAATGTCACGCCTTCAAACCAAATACCCGTTTCACACCAGCTACTGCTCTGCCAAACGGCTTCACGCTGATACACTGCCAGTTCTTAGAAATGCACAGGCGCCATTTCAGGGCTGTTGAGCCAGTACATCTTACAGGCAGGAAGGCAAGAACAGTAACAATGGAACATGACCTTTAGGAGGATCCGCTATTAACCTAAAATGACACCCATGCCTGGGACTGGAGAAACTTCACACCTCACTCTCTTGTTTCCTCTAATGCCTATGCCCAGAAGCAGGGTCATGCTGTCCTAGAAAAGAAATTCACACATTAAGCCCCAGTTCCCAGACCAGAGAATTAATTTCAGTTGATGTTTGTCTTTTTTATTCTCTCCTCTAACACACAAAGCTTCACTGGAATTGTAGGTTACAGAAAGGCTTTCATCACCGCTGGGAAAACAGCTTCCCATCATGAGCCCCAGGTCTACAAATGGCATCACGTGAGTGCTGGGAAAGGGCAGCCTGCAGCGCAGGCAGCCGGGGAACATACCTCCTCGTAGTTCTTTGCTTCAACTCCATGCTTCATATCCAGAATCACGAGCTGGTCCGGCATCCTCCCTGTTCCTGGAAGCAGAATGAAAGGATTCATTGTGCAAAACATTCAGCCTGCCAGGAAATCACCAGCTCTCCCCACCACTGAGGAAGAACTCACAACACCCCTCCCCTCCCTCCACGTCTGCAGCTAACTGCGGAGGCAGTGCAGTCCAGCCTAAAAATACAGAGACTTCACAATAAATCCTGGCTGAAGGAGAGCCTCCCAAAGATAATGAGAACAAGCTGTAACTAAAAGCGCTAAGTGTGTGTGGGATGCAAATCTGTAAAAACTGCAAAGGACTGGAAGATGAATACCAGCTGCTATGAGACAGCCTGGCAAAAGACAAGTCACCAGAGGGACAGATACTCAACTGGGAAGCCCACGTTCCTCCTAGCAGGAAGTGCACCAGCAAATCGTCACGTTTACTAGGGGCTGTAAATAATTTTTTACGTTCCAAGGAGCAGAGGGTAAACTGCTCTCATTGAGGAATATGGCATACAGGGACTAGTGACCCTCACAGTGCAACAGATTTTTGCCCATGTATCTTTTCAGGGAAAGAACAGCTCAGATGCCTAAGGCCCACTCTGCTAATGCAGATCCCAAGATGGCAGGAGGCTTCTGAAGCCGGGAAAATGTCACTTCAGAGAACGGCCAGCTGGAGCCGCACAAACAGCACGTAGGACAAGGCTGCCATCAACAGCACAGCAGGTATCTTTTAAGGCTGTAGCCCCTAAGCTATGGACACCTATTGCCAATAGCTACAGTCACACCTGAGAACGCTCCCAAGAAGGGAAAAAAACCCCAAACAAACAGAGAAAGAATATATATACCCTAAAGAATGCGGCATGTCAGCTGACCAAGTATCACATTCCACTGTACCACCTACCAGGAAAATCTCTCTACATAACACATTCCCAAATCCCAGCACTTTGGGGCACGCAGTTGTCCTCAGCTGGCTGCCAGCAAAACAGAAGGTCTGAATTAATTTATACCATGAATTTCAGAGTCTTTAACCAGGAGCATGTCCCATGCTCACACTTTGCTTTAGGAAGCTGCCAGGTGGACATTCCACAAACAAATTCAACGTGCAAGTTCCACTGGGCCATTCCGGTTGGAGCTAGGAAGATACTCCAGATCCTCATTACAATATCCCCAAATTTTCTCTCTACCCACTAAACAGCAATTCAACATCAGAGTAGAATCACCTCCACCTTCTACTGCTGGCAGAACACGGAATAGCCTACTAACAAGATGGTCCTATCAACTACAAACTGTTTCTTAAATTTCATACAAGAAACATAAGGGATTTAAAAAAAGGGATACAAGAACTCAAAAGTCAAACCCAGCTATGTAAGAGCCCAATGGATAATTAGGATTAGAACAGTTTTCTTATAAAAGACCAGTTACTGTAAAAACCACACTCAAATCCCAGCACTGTTCTTTAACAGACAGGCTGTACACAAGCACCCAGTGCTCCTTTCTCCAACCACAAGTTTTGACTGTTTATGCTATATATATACCAGCATGCCTAGAAACTGCCAGGTAGGGCAGCCAATAGTAGCTGCAGAAGAAAATTCAAAGCACACAATTCAGTGAGGGTTTTGGGTTTTTTTTGATGTTGCTTAAATCACAGTGACTTGGGTAGAGAGCTGGAGCTTCCAGGAAGAGATGAGAAAGATAAAAAAGGACAGGGAACAGGATAATAGAATTGGAAGGATTAATTTGTCAGGCTGTAAGGGAGAGCTGCCAAGAGCAAGTAAGAAATGTAGAAAACTCAGAGCTGCTGGGTGCAAAGGGATGGAAAGCAGACATTCTGCAAGAGGTTAACGTCAGGGAATGGCCTGGAAAAATTCACGCTGCTCTTCTACAAGTTTACTGCGCCCAAGGCACAAGGCAGCTCCCTTCACACCCATCAGATCCTCAGTAACTCCCTGCTCCTCCTGCAGCCAGGGCTCACTGGAGCAGACTGGGTCAGCAGCAAAGAAAGAAAATGTTAAGTCACAGACATCTTAAACTAAACTGATACCTACCTCCCCGAGGAGGACTTTAAAAGGTCATCATCTCACATGAGCACAGAACTGCTTCCTGGGAGAATAGAGGAGCTCCCAATTTGCAAAGGCAGTTGGAAAAAACAGGATGTAAAAAAAATTTCCTACAGGAATTCCAGAAAAAAAAAAAAAAAATGTCCTGACACTCTTAAGAAAGTTTGAGAAGAGAAGGATTACAGAAGGAGCAAAGAGGTAAATATTAGCATGCAGGAAGAGCCCTAGCATGTAGGGCAGGCCAGGCTGCTCTTCTCAGAGATCAGCAGACAGTGCAAGAGTAAGTGTGCCTGGGGACAAAGCACTGGTCAGGCAAACAGGACGCTTCCACCCTGGAGGAGAGAAAAAAGCTTGTCATGCAAACACCCATCGCTCCAAGGAGCATCCTAAGAACTCCTCCACTCTGATAAGGTGGACCTTCTTCTTCTCGCTTCCTCTTCCTCATTTCTGTGGTTAAGGATTGAGAAATCCCAGTTGCTTAGACCCCTCAGGTCCCAACGGTTCTGGGCTTCCTCTACCAACAGTTTTTCTCTTCCAGTACTCCACTGACATCCTCCTTGGCTACCGCACTACAAATCCTGACCACTTACTTGATGAGACTGTGGAAAAAAAAAACAGTCCTCTAAAGAGAAACATGGAGATAAGCAGTGCTGGCTTAGTTCCCCCATTCCCATGCTGACTTTAACGAGGAAACAATGCACTTCCTTGTAATGTGGTTACTTCTTCCACAGTACCTTAACCAAGTCCTGCACATGATCAAGGCTCGCACTGACACTTCCCTTACATTAATACTTCCTTGATTTCCAGCACAGGTATAGGAAACCTGGAGATACTTACCATGCAGAATCTCCCCTTAGCAAAGAATTCAGAGCATCTGGGTCCAAAAAGAAAATGGCAGCTTGGAGGCTCCCAGAGAAAGTATCTAGAAGAGGCTCCAGGGGGTTTGGCAACAATACAAGTGAGCCAGGGAACAAACATTTGCTACAACCAAAAGTGCTATAAGGGGCTCAGCCTAGGCAATAAACCTCTGGTCACAAGCACTGAAATAAAAGAGTCTAGACACAACAAAACAAAGAAGCCTTTCCCACTTCAGTGTGTGTGATCACATGGAAGCTTTGAAAGACATGGACTGTCTGGAGACCTCCCAGATACCCAGGTGTTGGACAGTAAATAGCATGAGTGACTCCCAGATGAGTCAGTAGTGCATGCCTTGATATGCTAAGGAGAATTTGGAAACTGTACCTTTGGAGTGAAATAACAGCAAAAATCCTGAGCATTTAGGGTTCACTTCCTTATCTGTAAAATACTATAGAAGAGGTGTTACAAGCCAGATCCCTCGCAGTTCCAGCAAAGAAGATGGCCTTCTTTTACTGGAAAGTTCTCTTCAACTTGGACACTATTCGGATCTTACACGTGTAGCAGAACAACAAAACAGAGGTTGTCTGTTCAATAGATATGAGGAATGGTGCTAGTGATTGCTCTGGGATCTTTTAGGGTAAGAAGAGACAGGTCCAGGGATCAGAACTCTGTCAGTGACTGTGAAAAGATGTGAGCTACAAACCTGCATGTGCTCACACCACTACAAATGATGAGACTAGCACCCATGTGTTGGCTGCTTTCAGCACGTTTGTCCTGAAGTTGAGCCCAGCCACTCAAAGCAGCACACGCGTCACACTCACAGGAAATGAGCCTCTGCACTCATTAGGCAACCATCCCTGCATCACAAATGCAAGGCTGACCTGCCCGTTTCCCCTTCCCTTTACTGACCACTTAGAGAGCAGCTGCAGATTCAGACCAAGACCACATTCCCTGCACGCGCAATCCCCAGTCCCAGAAAACAGTTGCTAACCTAACGTAGGATCGCTGCCAAGTACACACTGTCGAGAGATCACGTTCCACCAAATGGGGAGAAAGACAGGGTCCTGAGGATGGCGGCATCCTGCTCTGTCCTGGCTTGGCTGCCAGAGAGGCGTGAAAAGGGCAAAACGTTTGCTCCTTGGCACTGCCACTCATTGCAGCTGTGGTGACCTCTGCGGGAGGGACACGCGATTTCCCTTTCAGAGGAAACCCAAACGCTCTACACCAGCCACAGAGGATGACTTGACTTCAAACATAACACCAACAGCAGATATTCTGCAGTGACACTGCCCACAGCCTCCTGAAGATCAGCTTCAAAAGTCAGTGTTCTGTGGACCATGCTCAGGATCACTTTACCCATACCCCTAACCCACATATCTACATCAACTTGTTCAAGGCTTGATGGAGCCAACAGACCTTCACTTACCCACAGGAAGCTTGCTCTCAAAGCAGGCCTCAAACATATCATAGTCTTCTGTGGTGAAGGCAAACTTGCCCTTAGTGGCATCCTCCTTGGCATACAGGATGTGCCCAGCTGAGTCTGTTATCTGTAAAAGAGACAACGCGGGTGAGGAACACGGTGCTTCACGGCCACGGGCTCACGCTGCCTGTGCTACACAGGAAGGGGTCTCGTAGCATCCTGTTTGGTGCTGCTGCTACAGTCTTGTCTCAGCACATTCTCTCCTTCCTCACAACCAGATCAATCCTTCTCTTCCTCACCCCCATGCCAGGAGCTGACAAAGTCAGAGTGCCTTTAAGGGAATTACTCACTCTTGGATTAATCAAAAATGAACTCCACTAAAAAAACAAAATCAACCAACCAACAAGACCCAAAACCACACCGACTCCTCTTTCTCCTATAATCTCTGAATATAGACTACCTTGAAGAACTCTAGCTGAACCAAAGTGTTATTAATCGCCTTCGTTTTGCAAGCGAAACTGAAATTCCCATAGCAACAAAGACATGGAAAAGCCTTATGGGACAGAGAAGACTCATTCCCCAGAAGATGAAATGGCAACAGCACATCTATTCCTCTAGAAATGAACTATCACTGTGACCCCGAGTAATACAAGGTTTGGGTGCCAAGACCCATAAAAGTGGCCACTTCAGAGGACAATTTGGACTACACAGACAGAATAATGACTGCTTTGCACTAAGTCTATGAAATTACTAAGAATAGGCAAAAACCATCGAAGGTCTACAAAAATGCTTCAACGAATTAAACAAAGGACACACATTTCATGACGCAGACTTGAGAATCATTGTGCTTGATTAAAGGCTCTGTCTAGTAGAAATATTCTGACTGTGAAGAGGGGTGAAAAAACCTGAAGGCGTTACAATACTGCATGAAAATCAACAGTGTATGTTCCACTGGAATGCTTCCCAGCCTCTTTCAACTCTGTCCTTCAAAAGGCATGCCTGAAAAAGCATGACTGCTAAAGTCACTATGGGTCTTTCAAAGTCTTGGGAGGTGAAGAGACCAAAAAGCTGGGAAATAATTTTGAAGGTATATAAGAAAGAAGTGCAAAAAATGATTTGTGGTATAGAGAACATAAGTGAAACATTCTCCTCTACTCCATTTGCAACCCAGAACCAGCCTCATTTCCCTGTACAAAGGCCATGTGAAAGAGCTATGTACCCAAAATTACACTAAAGAAATACTTTTCTTTATTCTTATTAGGACACCTAATTAACTCCTTGCCAGGGCACAGCACTGATGCTAGCAGCCTGCTGGACTCCCAATGGGTGCAGACCTTCACATCCATAATGAAAGTTGCTGCATTAGACAGGAAAAGCAACAAAGTATAGAAATCCTTATGCCTCAGAGTATAAAACATAGCAGGCAAACTTCAGGAACAATGTCCCTCCAAGTCACAGGTCATACCTTAATGGCCTGTTACAGGATTTGTTGTAGCTGCCCCTGCACCATATGGTACTTGCCAGCATCCGAGGACGAGGAGCACCATTCTCCTCCCGCACCACTGTTCCTGCTCAGCACTCACCTGTACTCATTCAAGTGCTGAGCAGATGTAAGCACGCCTGCCCCGCCAGGCACAGGCAGCTGCGCTGCCATCCTCTTGCCACAAGCAACCAACACAAACCACCTCCTGCCTGGAAGCCACCAAACTACTGGAAGCACCCAGGCCAAATCGGCAGGCCCTGCTGGAGATATGTGTCCCTACGTGACCACACAGACATGGTGTAAAAGCATGCGTCTTGGCCACCAAACGGCACACGCGGTTCAGTGGAGCAGTCCTCATTAACCACGTCACTAGCCTCATCAGGCTAGTCACATAATCTGCACACAGAGTTCTCCATCACAAGAACTCTCAAGAGAAAGCTCTCCAACATCCCTACTGTTTTACGCACTGTTCCTTTAGGGCTTCGTAAACACCAGAGTTGGTCCTTAGCTAGTGGACGTTATACAGCTTGATCCATTTTTGCCCTTCACAGCTCTAGCAACAGCTTGCTCACGAGCAGGACTGTGGTCAGCAGAAGCTGTGCTATTTGCTTTCATCAAAACTGGAATAGCATTACCCAAATCGGCCAAATCCGCTGCCCATTTAGCTCGGCCACGGGGGCGGAGGAGCTGCTAATAGCCCAGCCAGAACGCTAGTGGGGGAGCGGACCTGAAAGGGATTTTTCATGCTATTCTAACGTTATTTACAGTAACAAAATCCCTGACAGACAGGGCATTGTTCACCTTCGACAAACAGCCCGAGGACTCCCCGAGCCGACAATGGGGCAGAGGCACGTGGCTGGGCCAAGCCAGACCTCAGCCGCCCTGCCAGGCGTCCTCGGCGGGCAGCTGGCAGCGCCCACGGATTCCTCTGCAACAGAAGGTGCCACTGTCAGCGCCGCGGTATCACGCACACCAAACTCAGCTCCCTGGCAGGCGCCAGACTGAGCCCGGCCAGGATGAACTACAACCCCCTACGTTCAGCAGCCAGATCTGGGACACTGAAGCAGACCACCCAGTGCAGACACGATGTCCTGAACTAAGCTTACACCTGAACAATAAAGAGGAAAGCAAGAATTGCATAAATTATTATTTCTTCTTTGTAGCTTGTCAAAAGAGTACAGGACCTTTATTTATTTATTTTATTTTATTTTGCAGTTATGTGTGGAAGCATGCCCACTTCCATGGACAGTCCCATCTGGACACCAGCTTCAGCAGCAAGGCCGGACTAAGACCCAAGCATGAGATTCATTGCCACACCATGTCCCTAGACAAGTCCTCTGTCATAAAAGTGAGTTCTGGAAGAGACTGTGGGGTAAGTCAACCTAAGAGTGGGCAACCAAAGAACCAGGAAGCTTGACCACCGCGCAGTAAGAGGCAGATGGGAACGTGGCACTCAATTTGAAATTTGAAGAAAGCCTGGGGAAGGCAGACTGTGGACAGAATTAAAGTGAAGCTGTTGAATTTTTAACAGCTGTTTGTCACATAGGTATATTTGTCACACACGTTTTGCTGGTCTTTCCCCTATACTCCCTAAAAATCCTTTAGAATCATTTCCTTCCCTGCACCAAACACCCTGCCTTGTTAAAATCCATACGAGCCATGACACCACAAGATAGGAATAGGCATTTTGGGTACCAAAACCCGGTCTCCTTGCCCTTTCCTAGAGGCCTGCTGCTCCATCCCGCCGTGCCGAGGGAGCCCTGGGAAAGCCACGTCACCCTAACCCTTTCCAATTCACACCGTGTCAGCAGCTTTAGGGCGGCCTTATCGCAACGGCCC